ATATTTTATTTTTGTTTTTACATATTTTAAGATTTTTTAAAATGTATACAGGGTGTTTCGAAAATCTTGTCATTGATTAATCACGATCCTGTTTAAAGCGCTTGACGTAAAAAAGTTGATTTTTGGAAAACGGATTGACTTTAGGGTTTAGAGGTTCGATAAGAAGGATTTTTCAGAAACTCTTCTAATTCTAAGGGGGTGAAACCACCCTCAAATATTAGAATATTTTTTTATTTAGAAACCGGTGAGTTTTTCGGAAAAACTCTAAACACGTATATTTTATTTTGTTGTTTTACATATTTTAAGGTTTTTTATAAATTTATACAGGGTGTTTCACAAAATATGACCATTGAGTAATCACGATTCTGCTTAAACTGCTTGACGTTTAAAGCTGATTTTGGCAAACGGATTGACTGTGGGGTGTAGAGGTTCGATATAGAGGGGTTTCTCGAATCTCAAATTCCAAGAGGGTGAAAACGCCCCTCAAATATTACAATATTTGTTATTTAAAAAACGGTTAGTCTTTCAGGAAAACGCTTGGACACGTATAATTTATTTTGTTTTTTACATATTTTTAAATTTTTTAAAAAATCATACAGGGTGTTCCAAAAAGTTGGGTAATTGATTAACCACGATTCTGCTCCAGTTTGTATGTTAATGGAAATTCTTGCTTTGCTTTATCATATCACCATTACAAATGATTAATTCGACGCGAACGAAGTCGCGGGTACATGCTAGTCACCCTATAAACGGGATTAACCATTTTAGAACAAGCGAACATTTTTATGAAGGATGCATTTTTCTCAAAATGTCAACAATAAAAAGGTTTTTCCTGTTGTAAAGACAAATCCGGGGACATACTGTATATCAGATCTAAATAATAATCTAATATTAAATAAATATTTTCACTGTTATTTTAAATTATTTGAAACTTGTTAGATTTATTTTTATTTTTTGTTTGTTTTGAATTTTCCGTTGCTTTCACTGGCTTTTACTGGGTGATAAACTCAGTGACCCGATTGAAGTAGGTTAACCGAATTTACTATTACAAATACACGCGACCTGCCTGCATATCGTAGATGAGACTCACGGTTTTGGCTTAGCGCCAATACGGCACTAACATTTATCCTATAACACTTTGGAAATTAAAGTCCCAGTGGCGACGCACAGTGGTTTCGGCAATGGAAAAAAAAACAAAAAAGAGGGTGTTAAATCGGGTTTAAATTATCCTATCTTACATCGAGTTAGTTCAAAGACAATATAATAATATTACTTTTTTAATTTAATTACTAGTTTTGAATCAAAACACCTCCTTTTTGACAATTTTCTTAATATAGGAAACGCGCAAAAATAAATCGAAAACAAGTAATATTTTACAGCCCTTTTTTTAATTCCTAAAAATCGGTATTACCCAGGAACTGTTTCGTTTATCTATGGGTATTCAAAGTAAAAATCATTTTGCCAAAATATACCGTGCCTTTGATGCAGTTTAGTTTGAATCTATTTCTAATAAAATTACTTTACTTCTTACTTTAATCAGACTAGAACAAAAAAGCTTTACCGAGCTTTGGTCTCGGATTAATTTGCCTAAAAAAAGCAACCGTTAAAATAGTGATTCTATAAATTTTATCGCCACATTCGGCCACGTTTGTTAAAAATTTAAAATAAAAGATAAACAGTGTGGAAAAAAATGAAAACTACATTCTTCATTTTTGCGAATGCCGATGAATTCATTTAATATAATTTACTTTTTTTGCCTCTTAAAAGTATATAAATATCATTATATTGTATAAGATTTAAATGTTATAAATTATAATAATTTGAACCACAGTAACTAAAAAAAAGCATCAATTGAAGCGTAAAGTGCAAATTTTTGCATTAAGTTTAACTTCTTGTATTTTTTAAACTTTTGAAGGAATTTTCAATTTGCCAGCCAGATTCTAAAACATTGTTTTATCGACTATCGAACCGTTCTTTGCAGTTTTTTTCAATTATTGGTCAGGACCCATAATACAGGGTAAAACAAAAATGCGCGCATTTTTAACAAAATTTTAAGTGAGCTTCATTTTGTGGAGGGATACAGGAGATCCATTTTTTGTGGATAGTTTGAAGGAGGTGTTTTATACCTCGGGACATTTATGAGTTTTTTTGATTGTCGGTAGAGTTTTAATACTAATAATTTTATCTCCTTGTGAAATGAAGACATCGTATTTTTAAGCATTATGCATTTTAATGTATAATTAAATAAAGCAAACAAATAATTTTATAAAACTAAAAAGTGTTACAGTTATAGAGGGCGTTAAAAATTTATCTAGTTGGTATATTTAAATTATATGAACAGGTTTTATTATGTATCTTGGCATAACAAAAGAAGCATTTAACACTTTTTCATTAACGATACAGTATAATCACTTAGTATAATCATTAGTTAATACGCATAATACTCAAAAATACAATATATTAATTTCATAATGAGATAAATTTCTTAGAATTAAAACCTTACTGAAAATCATAAAAAAGGAAAACATCGCAATGGAGAGCGATACCCCAAAAAAACTCAAAAACGTCCCGAGGTATAAAACAGCTCTTTTAAAATACCCACAAATAATGGAAATCCTCCATCCCCCCACAAAATGGAGGTCACTTAAAATTTTGTAAAAAATGCACGCATTTTTGTCGCAGTCGACTGGTCGACCCAATCAGTACTTCTGTCAGTAATTAAAGTTCTAGGGAAAGGTTTACATCATGCGTTCAGCTTCACGTCTTAATTACATCTCGTGATACTTGATTTGTTTATTTATTAATGAGTCGTTGTAATTTTCCCGAAAGCTTGAAAAAATTTAAGTGCAAGTTAGAAACATTTGCATTTTTGATAAAAATAAGTGGAATTGAGTTGGTGTTTGACAGCGGTCGCGCTATTAGAACTCTGAATTCAAAAATCGATATCTCGAAATCTATTATAAATAAATGATTGTAGTTTTTTTTTCAAAAACTTTCCTAACATTTCTGCTATATTTTTTTCGCAGACAGTAGGTGAAAATACCGTTCTTCAAAATAAAAAAAGTCAATATCCCAAGTGGTTCTTAAGTTATGGCGTGTTGCGTGTTAAAAAGTTTATAAATTATCGCAATTACTGATGTTTTCTCATTATGAAAAAATGGATACTCTAACGATATCCTTATAATTCCATTTCAGATGCTCAGAAACATATCTAATGATTTTATCTAGTTATATTTTCCAAAAAAAGTATTTTAAAAATAAGCGGTTAGCGATCGTGATTTTACTTTAATTGATAGGGAAGGGCGTATCGGCAACGCCGCAACAGCACACCGTCGCATTTCTCTCACTGCAACTTAAGAAGATCCCCATGCGATTTATAGTCTGTCCAACGAGAAGATCCTTGACAGTGATAGATGTGTCTGTCATTTTAATTTCAAAGTAGTTTATTTTATTTTACAAAGAAATAAGTTGGTACAACTGGAACGCATAGCGATATATTTAAAATTTGATTGACAAGATGACAAGTGATTACTTTAAAATATTGTGAAAAAGTGTATAAAACTGAAAAAAATGTAATCGAGTTATTTTATTTAATAAAAACGGTATGTGTTAATACAAAACAAACAAGAACAAGACACTACATACCAAAAAAAATTATAAAAAAGAACTATTATTTACTTTCAAGCTTTATGAAACTACCCGCATTTATGATTATATTTATCAATATAACTTATGTACAAATACAAATTTGTAATATTCCACAGGAATAAATAAAACAACATAGGTAAATAAAGAAACTATTTTATTAATAATAACACCTACCAAATTTTATACCTTAAAAGTTGATTAATTAATTTTAATCTTAATTTTTTTAAACCAGTACCTTTTGACATTATTTTTCTGCAGTACTAAAATCCATTATTTACCTATCGTGTGATGTCGATATTTTACAGCTACTCCAGTTTTTAGTATGTGTTTAGTTTGATCCTTCTACCATATACGAGATGCACTTATCTACGACGAAATGGTATACAAACTTTATCGATGGCAACTTCATTGGTGTATAAGACTTTTCTGCCTTGGCAGCTAGTATTAACACATAAACTGTGCTCTGGGTCTACAGTTAATTTTCACTCGATTTTTCCCTCCACTTGACTTCAAAGACACAAAACACACGTAATAATACGAATCAAAATGCATTATCTTCCAAAACGCAGGGTATTTAACAAAAGTTGACACAAAAATTATAACCTATAATTTGGCAAGACTTTGACAAGCGTCAAAAATTACAAAAATCTAAAGGCGAGTTCATACGCATCGGCGTCCGTTTGTCGTTCATCGTTCCGTCAAATAAAACTGGTTAAAAACAACAAGACACGACGCATGACGGATTTATATTTAAACCCATCCATAGATAACTTAAAAATTATTAGAAACTTTTTTAGTAAAATAAATAGATTGGTATGGGACGTCATCTGCTTTTCTTCTGTCATCGTCTGTCGAAATCTTACCTGAGAAAAAAAACAGAGTATACTTCCAGACATGTAAATACCGACCTAAAAGTAACAGTTGCCAGCCCGGTATAATACCTTATCAGACCAAATAAATAAGGAAAAGCTTGAGCACAGAATATTACAACAGAAAAACACAATATATGCTTTAGTTAACATTAGTTAAATAACGAGGAAACATTTACTTTACCTTAAATAACCTTCTTTGTCACAATAACGAAAATTTACAAACCAAAATAAACATCAATGAGTCTCGATTGGTAGTTTTAAAAACTATTATTTAACACCTTTATTTAATACCTTCGTTGTCTGATTTTTTCCTCTCCCTAGTTTACGAGTAATATTTTAAAAATTAATAATAATTATATATGTAATTATATAATTTTATTTATGTTTACAGAGTGTCAATTATGTTTACAGAGTGTCAATTATACAGAATCTCAACAGGTTAACATATGTTAATACCATACTTTTTGATTTTATTCACAGGCCTGGTGACGGTGGACAAGAACAAGCAAATCCATTTGACCTACGACTATGCAGACTTGATGTGGTACTACCAGACCTTGGTGGCGCTGCTCGTTTTTTTGGCGCTCTGCGTAGTGTTATTCCCCCTATTCTTCCTGTTCTTTTGCTGCTGCAGGTGTTGCTGCGGCAACTGCGGTGCCCGGTCTCAACCTGCCGACAAAAAGAAGGATCTTTGCAAGAAACTTTGCCAGGGAACGGTGCTGATAGTACTCGCCACAGGACTGTTGTAAGTATAGTCTGTTCAGCAACATTTTTTTTTAAACCAGTACCACAGATTAGGTATCCTATAAGTATACAGATAAAAATCTTGTCCCTAATTCGTGGTACGAAAATTGTTTTTTATGACGATGTGCAAACGAGTCAAATTTCCTGTGCGCAAAAATGAACTGGCGTAAAATAACAATAAACAGCGTAATAGAGAGATATCGTTAAACCGAATAGCGCATGGACGTTAATAAGGCCAGGTGTTATTTCCTTTACGTGAGGTGGTATTAACTCTCTTCATTTATAGTTATCGGATCGGAAAGAATTCTGATCGCGTCGGGTCCGCTATTAAACTTAACCTAACTTTGAATTTAAAACTTTGAAATTGTTTTGTTTCCTAGGTATTTTAAAACTAAAGGGCTAAAGTGCTTATTTCCAGTGCTTTATTGTTCAACGTCTGCCAGTGGGTTTAGGGCAACAAGCAACAAATTCCCTTAGAAGGGCTAAGTCGTCATCTGCTGTAAACCTAAGACTCTTTATAGGTTCTTTAGTATTGGAAGAGGGTGGAATCCATATTTTGAAATATATTTATTTAATTAAAACTAATCCCAGCTACTTAAATATCAAATTACCTAATAAAACTAAAGCAATAATTCAAAACAATTCAACCATAACCTAAAATAAAAGATCTTGCCGGCCGGCTCCGGTTGTCAAATACCCGCACATGCCCAATTAAGCAATTTTTATACGTTATCAGAGGTTATTTAGAAAGAGCGCTTGGTGTAATTGATCCGCAAATTACGTCAGGCGGTAACGTTATTAGCGGGTGTTGCGTTAAAAATTGACTCGCGCATATCGTAAATCGTAACCATGAAAAGGTACGCGTAAATACTGGATGACGCTATTCAGTTTTCCGATATCTCTCTAATAACTGTGCCGGTCAGGCGCTGTGCACAATTTTAGAGGCCATAAGTGGGCGTGCTATGTGCGCAAACTAGTCACCTAACTAGTGCCCGATTCCAAAAATTGGAACCACGAAAAACAATAAAGAAAAAACAAAGATTATAATCTGTATAATCTGTGCCAGTACCCTTTGACGTTATCTTTCTACAGTACTGAAAGCTATTATTATTTACTTAATAAATAAATAATAAATAACGCTTTATTGTACAAAAAGCCAAAATAGCTTCATCGACAAAGCATATTTATTTAAAAAACCAAAAAAAGCACAAAAAATATACAAATAATGTCACATAATTACAGTTGAGGGTTGGAACCTTTGGTGTTAAACAGCAAAATAAAAACACTAAATCACCACAATACATCAAAACACTTTTTTTTTCACTAACCATGTTAGCATCATCAGCAGATGATTATATATATATATATATATATATATATATATATATATATATATATATATATATATATATATATATATATATATATATATATATATATATATATAAATAATGGAAAATAAATTTTTAATAAGATTCACTTATATTCAATTGCTTATAAGAAAATTCTTTCTGATTGGTGCCTTGGTGTTTTCTGTTGCAGATATTTGGTGACCTTTCTGAATTGTAAATGTAATTGTATTTTTACCACCTAATTGTTTTTTTTGCTCTCGTTGCACGAGTAAGGGTGTTTTATTAATGTTTTTAGTGTTTTTTAGTGTTGTGCCTGATCACTAATTTTCTACATGACCACCCACACCATTGGTTTTTTACATGAATACAATGATGGACATGCCACAGCCTTGTTCGACATCCATAGATCACTTTTACTAACTTGACTTCTCTTGACAATTGACTTGACGTTTGGATGTCGCGGTTGTCGCCTGTCAATTGTTTTGCGCCTCCACGCTTCGGATTGAGACGCAAAATTCTTTAATTTAAAAATTTCAACATCTCTTAATTATTCTAATGTTCTAACTTATATTTGGCGGCTTAACTGCCTTTCTTTTATAAGCAGTCCTTGTGGTTGACTGGTCATGATGCTTTCACGGTGGAGTTATCAACACAAACCATGTTTACTTTTATGGAAGGTATTTTCTGTACCACGTTAAGTAAGTCTTATTCCTTAACTTTATAACAGCAATTGTCTAACTTGTATTTCCATTTTGTCCTGAGGAAGGAATAAATAAATTCCGGAAAGCTTGACAATTAACAAAGTGTATTAATTTTTTGTCAAACCCTTCCGACTGCAACCCCACTAAATCCCAGATTTTCTTCTCACTAGTCAGTCGAGACTACTTTCTGCTTATATATATATATATATATATATATATATATATATATATATATATATATATATATATATATATATATATATATATATATATATATAGTATATATATATATATATATATATATATATATATATATATATATATATATATATATATATATATATATATATATATATATATATTCAGTTATAAAATACAAATATTAAATACTAGACCTTAACCAGTGTGTGAGATGATCAAAATTTAAAATTCAAAATTGTCTATGATTAAACATCAACAAAAAAGTCGTTTACCGACAATATAGGGCTCTCTCCAGTAAGTATGATTTCAGAGCTTTGCGAAATGCGGGAAAGAATGAAAGCGTCTTGATATTCAAAGGCAGATGATTGTACATTTCTTTGGCATTGTACAATACTGAGCCTTTAACTAGTTCTGAGCTCGGGGTTGGCAGATAGAGATCGTGCATTCCTAAGTAGATAGTTGTGAGATGGCTTTTTGGGGAATAGCAGATATGTGCTTGCGGATTAAGTAAACGGATTCAAAAACGAATAAAGAAGGAAGAGTCAGTATTTTTGAAATTTTTAAAGAAATTCTGGCAGTGAGTTCTACTGTTTAGTCCTAATAAATATCGAACTGCTCTCTTTTGAAGTTTGAAAATACGACCAAATTTTGTTGCGCAGCACGTACCCCAGAATGGAAGGAGCTATATCATTGCGAAAAATGCAACAAAATATGTTTTTTTCGTGTTTTCACTCCTGAGAAATACGATTTGTGATCTTTTTTTATAGATTTGGGGTGGTGTGTGCTTTTGTCAGCAACGAGCAAATGCAGGAGGGCATCAGAGACTTTCCCAACAACATGAACAACAGCATTCAAGATACGGGAAAGTATTTGAATCACACTAGTGGTGAAATCAATCATCTCCTAGTCGACAACTACAATGAATTCAGTGATGCACTATTTGGTGTACTGGACAGTAAGTTTTTTAGTGGAATCTAGCGTAAATAATGTAGAAAAATATTTGTATATACAGGGTGGCGCCAGGGGGGTGACAGTGAAATAGGAAAATTGGAAACAGTCATTAGTGTCATTCCAGTCATTCTCCTCACGACAAGTATGGCCGCCTAGACAAGGACAGCATTGTTTTTGTCTAACTATTGTCTAACTTCACAGTTTAGAATTGACAGATTTCTGCTTCAGAGACAACTTAGATTTAATTTAGAACAAATTGAAAATATTCATTTTCATTTAATTCATCTGCTTAGTTGTTTTTGAAGTTCAATTTAATATTTCGGCTGAAATTTAAACATAATGGTAATAAAGTATATATATTACATGAAGAACTTGAGAAAATGACGTTTCTGCAGTAATAGGTATGTCCCATGTATATGAAAATAGGTAGTAAATAAACACTGCTTTTACATTTTTAGATGCAAGAAAATGGTGTTATAATATCTTTGATCGGCGATTTTTCTGAAAATGGAAGCAATTTACAGCAAGGTGGGGATCATATTTAACTATAGCCATTAGTTATCTCCAGTATGTGCGATTTATTGTCAATAATGCAATAAATCGGACTGATAATCTGATTATGTTATCCGACTAAGTCTCTTTTTTGCATCTTTTTGATTTATAAGCCAGGCCTCTTTGGGGAATAATGGACGCTTTTTAACAGTATATTTCTATTTTATACCTATTGATATTTTTACATTGTTAATTTTAGTATAAAAAATTGTTTGTTTTCAGGTTTTTGTATAAGGCCCTGCTTTTACGGTGTCCGTTTTCTGTCCTGAAGTCTGCGAATACGTGTGTGTTTATTTACAAATTACTGTAAGTCTTGTTATACCTTGCAACTAATTTACGTTGCAGCACATATAATTAACTAATTGGTATTGAAACACAATCCTCTCTATATTTTTATATTTATTTAGTCACGTTGTTCCATATTTCAAATAAATATATGTGAATAAATAATTTTTTGGTTTATTATGAAAAGAAAAATACAAAATACATTTGAACTGAAAGAGACCCGCTATTGAATAACCGGAAACGGAAATGAGAATTAAGCCATCATGTCCATCATGTCAACCTGTCAATTGGAAAATTAGTTCTCCAGACGACAACGAAGGCTTTCGGTGGCGTATCGTGTTTCCACGATTTAACACAGAGTTGACACTTCTTTCTAGTTAATTATTTTATGGGTGGCGCACCTCATTCGCCTCGATTGATTATACGAAAACGGAAAGATGTAGAAACAAAATATTTTATGGGTGTATGTGGGGATGCAATGTACACAATGGGTTCTTTCACTATATTTTGGAATTAGCATAATTGAATAAAACAATTAATTCTAGAATTTTCTGCTATCTCACTTTCGAAAAATTTGAAGTCGTTCTTAAGAAAATAAATAAAAACAAAAAAGCCCAGAATAAAAATCCGCGCTTTATTTTTAATACGTCACACTGGCGTTGAAAAAGCGGCAACGCCGCGGCCGGGCCACCATGCTGGCCCATCACCACCTGGTCAAAGGCCATTCAACCTTTTCCAATATGGCGGAGATAGAAGTGCTTTATTTGGCGCGTATTTAAACCTGCTTTGTTTCCAAATAGACATTTTTCACACAAATGTCGGATTACGTAATATTTCACTAATTTTTAATTTTACAGGGAGTCTAAAGCCTCCACATAAGTATGGAATTTTTGTATTATTACTTTATGAAAACATCATTGTATGTGTGGGGCACTAGACCCAAAAAGACTTACATCCAGGCCATTTATATTTTCAAATGTCAATGTTGTCAATATCTTCTCTGATCTTTTGATGTAAAAGCTTGATTCTTCTTCAAATATTTTACTTATAGGTGAGGTAAAATGTAAGCAGTAGCCATAACTACATCCTCACTAGGGTAACAGAGCTTTGGGGCCTTTGACCTTTTGAGGCATATTTAATGCACTTCTACCTGAGAATCATTAGTAGAGCCTATCTCTTTTAGCTGTCAACCATTTTGAAGCTCGTCATTTTTGGGGAATATAAAAGCAGAACCCTTGGGACCTCTATAATTCCTGTTACTTGGAATTATGTAAAGGTATGCTACAATAAATGTTAATACCTACCCTTTAATACCTATCTTTTGATTATTGTAAGTAACCATTATAAAGTACTATACAGACTTTAGGTGTAATATCTTGATAAATACTGCTAGTTCTTACCTTAAAATAACTCAATAAATAGAGGAGCAATGACAGCACAAAGCCTAAAGTTCTCTATGTGGGAATATCTGCTGGATTTTTATTACACTGTTATTTTATCACAATTTTCGATCACACCATGCACTGAACACTAAGAACTAAACAAACGTGTTGCAGAAGCACAAGAAACTAGGAGATAATTAATTATTTTGTATGCAATCGGAACGAGAAACCACGACCGCTTTTTCAGGTTAAAGGTAAACAATTTAATAATGCGCTGCCTTCGCCGCCATATTTGCCTTGCCCAGATCATGTTGATTGGCCTTGAGTTGAGGTGGTGCTGGTCAAATCAAATCGCAATGTTGCTGCCTTGGCTGGCGCACGAGCACGGTTCTGGAATGATTGGGTGTATTTTTCATACGTCATCAATTGGCGCTTTAAAATATTTCAAATTAAAGCACTTTGAGGGCCTATAAAAAAATTATTCAATGTCAGAACTATTTTTTTTTGGATAAATATACTGAAAATAGCTCTATTTCAGATTTTGTTCCTGAATTGGGTATTTTATTTTTGTGAAAGAGCCCATTTAAAATTATTTTGAAACATACAGGGTGTCCTTCAGAACTAAGTCCATAAATTAAAAGTTATATTTTTTCATGGAACAATTCGGTATTTATTTAATTTTTTGGATTCTTGGGCCCAAAAAGTGTATTTATTGTAAGGGTTAAATATGTTTAAAATCGTTTGGTTTTCAGGATATTTAAAGATATTTAAATATGCACGCTGCAAAAGTATTGATTATTAACACCCTGTACATTACTTTTTCAGAATTAATTTTGTGCTGTGAGTTTAAAGGTAAAGAAATAGTACTTGAAAATGTCATTTCTTCCTTAAATTTATACAGGGGTACCAAAAATTGTTGATCTATTTTAAGGATTTATTTTACATAAAAACTTTGTTATTTCAAATGCAACACCCTGTATTTTTTTAAATAAAACGAAGCACATTCAAATGCTCTTTCAAACTATATTAGGGTTTCCTATACCTATCTATCTCAGATTTTGAATAAAAAACGATTTTTAAATAAAATGGCAATCAAGATGGCTGGTATCGCCATGGCAATTTTCTAGTGACAGTAACTATCTTCAAAATCGACATTAGTTTATGGACATTATTATTTAAACAGTTTACTAAAATTTACCCACAGTAGTTTAATAAGTAAGTATTCTTTATTTTATGAAGAAAAATATATATCCATCGAATATAAAATATAACTATGATATGGATCTCAGTTCTGAGACACTCTGTATATTTCAAAATAATTTTAAATTGTGCACATTGCCTCCACACATATACCCGTAAAATATTTTGTTTCTACATCCGTTTTCGTATAATCAACCGAGGCGAATGAGGTGCGCCACCCTGTACAGTACGTCTGTCCGTTCTGTAGCTACGGGGTATCCGTGAGTGGGGAAACGATATTTTCTCAATGTTTTTCGTAAAAAATTAGACGACGCGTCCCATCAATAAAAGTTCGACAAATTTGCAGGTAGCCAATAAAATGAGTGGGTGGAGCGATTTGCGGTGACGTACTCGTCAAGTCGACGTATAAAATATATTGCTATTTATTTAAATGTTTTTTGTCCGCATTCCTTTCATAGACACAGATCCAGCAAACGGACTGTATATAATATTTTGGTATATACTATTTTAGATGCTTCCGTTGCTGTCACCTCGCAACTGGAGGAGTACTCCAACGCTACGGCTATGCTGCAACTTCTTGATTTCGCTCATAATTTAACCAACGTCCAGACTACTTTGGAGGATCTGAAAACGAGCTCAAACAGGCTGAGAGTGTACGCGTCTCAATTGAATGACGGTAAGTCATTGTTGTGGTTAATTTCTTGTAATAATGCGATTTTTGTTTTTGGGTTTAATATGTTTTATTTCTTTCATTCTTCTATTCAACTTGTACACGGCGCTATGCGGCCTTGATCGGGATCTTTCTGTCTATCTTTAGCCTACTACGATTACAATCAGGCCAGACCCCTTATATTATAAATTAAATTGCAAATAAAATACATGAAACTAAGTAAATTACTTGGCATCATTAAATCAAACCAAACACATCGAAATTCCCAAGTAGCATTTGGACGTTATCTAACGTCGGGTATACGTCGCGTTTAATAAACCTGACGTCGGGTACCAACGTCGGTTCGACCGCCTGACGACCCTTATTTGCACCTAAATGGGGAATACAGATTCGGGTCGCCTCGACGTCGGTATCTGACCTGTCACTGCAAACCCGATTGCGAACACTACGTTGTTACATATGGTCCACTCTTCTTTACGGATGTGAGACAATGACGCTAAAAGTCGAGAATATAAATAAAATAGAAGCCTTTGAAATGTGGTGCTACCGGAGAATTCTTAAAATTTCTTGGACCGAACATATCAGCAACGAGGAAGTTCTTGGACAGCTGAACAAAGATCGGGAACTGTTAACCACCATCAAGGCCAGAAAGGTGAGCTACTTCGGACACATAATGCGTGGCAGCAAATATTATATTCCTCGTTTGATTATTCAAGGAAAAGTCGAAGGTAGAAGATGGGTAGGTCGAAAGAAACTGTCATGGCTGAGAAATATACGGAACTGGACCGGTCTGGGGGTGGAAAGGCTGTTTCATGCAGCAGAAGATAGAGAACTCTTCCACGAAATAGTCATGGAGATCGCCAACGCCTGAAGACAGGCACGGCACCGCAAGAAGATAAATTTTGACCCTAAATCAAATGGTGATACTGAAAAATTATTTGGAAAAGCGGAAAGGGGAGTTTTTGCCAGGGTAGTGGGTTGTTTTGTGAATAACTTTTTTAAGGTTATTTTTTTTTGCAACGTGGGTTCATTTTTTGAAAACTACATACTTTTTCCTTCAAAAAAGGTACTCTTGTTGCAGATCGCCCAGAGCGATGGTTTTCGAGAAATTTGAAGGTAAAGGGTTTGCTATGACGGGTTGCTAACTGGTTAATCAACATGAACTTATGGAAGTTATGGCGGTTCCAAAGTACCAAGTAGTTATTAAATAATTAATTGGAAAATCAAAATTTCATGATTTTTAGAACATCTTATTGCTTTAAAAATGAAATAATCTTTTTTGGTTTTAAAAAAATTTGGTTTTCTCAGTGCCGAATCATACTCTATATAATATATAATACTCTATATAATAATACTAACTCCCTTAATATTAATTTACCGCCCTATACCATATTTTTAGGAGTACTAGGACCCCCAGAATTTTTTTACGCCATTTCAATGACACCCTGTATAGTGCTATTATAATTATTGTTGTTTTATTTCAGCTCTGCGAAAAGTTAAGAAGGATTTGACAACTACGTTACAAGACTGTAAATTAGACCCATGTAACGCTGTCAGAAACAACGTCAGTTTGTTGCAAACTAACATCGATTTCAATAAGGTAATTTTAACGTTTTAGGTGCTAGTATATTAGAATAAATTTATGAAAGTTAAATAGATCTTTACGAATAAGTTAAATAATAATTTTCTTTTCTTTTACACGCAGTACGTTGATAGGTACTTTCCCAGGGTGAGTATAGTGCATGCGGGCTGTGAATAAATAAGTGCGTTATAATTTAGGTTCAAGTGATTGCATTTTTAAAAATAATTGAGCTTTTTGTATACAGCGCGGTCCGAACTAGATTCCGGAAACTTCGGCAGCATATTTTGCAGATAAAATTATGTAAAAAAGGTCGTATAAATGTATGTCTTTCCCAAATGATTTACGTAGTAACGTAAATATTTGGGTGAAAAGAGTTTTTTGACATGGGAAATTTGATTTTGATGTCAATATGACATTTTTAACTGGTTTAAAGAGTTATAATTTTTAGTGCGTACCTGTATAAAACTACTGAGTAAAAAAATATACATTTACGACATTTTTTACGTAAAAAAAGTCTCTTAGGAAAAATCGCTACGAGTAATGGTTCTCGAGATATTTGGAATCGAAATTATCAATACCTGTCATCATTGACATAAATTAAACATGCTGACTAAATAAAAAAAAATGTAATTTTTTCACTCAGTAGTTTTATACAGGTACGGATGAAAAGTTATTACTCTTCAAAACAGTTAAATCACATGTAAGTGGCGCCCCCTACAAATAGAAGTCATATTGACATCAAAATCAAATTTCTCATGTCAAAAAACTCCCAAACCCCAACTTTCATCCAAATATTGACGTTACTTCGGAAATTATTAGGAAAAAATCGAAATAAAAATGAAACTTCTACACCCTGTATCTCCGAAACTAAGCAATTTAGGATATACATTTATACGAACTTTTTTCCTTATTTTTATCTGCTGAATATGCTGCCGAGTTTCCGGAATACAGCTCGGAGCACCCTGTATAGAGGCGTTTCATAATTACATGCTGTATTTTTCTCCACTATTTCAAATGGAACACCCTGCATTTTGTATTGTAAACGGTCAGGGTTTTGTTTGATTAAGCCATAGAATAACTAACTGAAAGAAATGAAAACTCCTATGTTAAAGCCTGGAAACACGCGCTCGACGCGATCCAAGCGGGCTACTGGCAGAACTAAAAGTTCGCGCCATATTTTTAAATGCCAGTTCATAAGTTTTACTGCAAGTTCATAAGTTTTTTACTTATATTTGGTAATTTCAATCTAGATTATGAACTTATTTGTAACAAAACATTTTACAAAATAAAAATAATGTATTTTGATACAAATAAATTAATAATCTAGGTTGAAATTATCCCTGAAATTAGAATAAAACACGAAAAATTTGTAACTTGATTATTTTATTATAACATTGTTAATAAAATTACATATAACCCATTCAACACTATACAAGTATATATAAAAGTTATCAGAATTTATATAATCAGTTATAAGTAATTATAAAAAAGGTTATAAATTATAAATAAATTATTCATTATATAAAAGACATATAGTTACCGTGAATATAATTTGGTATAACTTTAATCTCAACTTTAATGACCTATTCAAATAGAAACATCTTACAATTCACATTATATAATACACAAAGCCAAGGGACAAAATTGTTATTAAATCTATTCTCGATGACTCGAAGCATTTTTTTTTCAAATAAAACAGGACATATAGGGCTTATAAATAATACAAGGGTATAGAAAATATATAAATAAGTAAATACAAATATATTTTCAACCTAATGATTAATGATTATACTCGTTTAAATAAATAAATGATCTTTTTAAAATTACTTGTTTGTCTTTGCAAATTTGTATATTTAATATTTATCTAAAAGCGTACACTTACATAAATTACTGCACAACCTTTAAAATTAAGCTTTTAATATGTTATACAAATTCTTGATTCGATATAAATACACTTAAATAAAACTTTAAAATTAATGATCTTCCAAATTTCTGAGACAGCCATTTTGTTGAAAGAATTTGTTTTGATTATGAGAAATTTCATAAAAATTATCACAGGGATTAATTAATCTTATATATTAAACTACTTGGCTTTTAAATTTCACAATCCTATCGTCCAAAATACTCTAAATTCGCAAAAATCCGTAAAATATTCCCATAAAAACAAATCACAATTCACTTCCACTTCACAGAAACTGACAGACATTGCCAAATATGGAATGACGTTTATTTTTCAATTTATTTTACTGATCTAACTGATCCGGGTCACTTAGAAATTAAATTTTTATTAAATTATTTAATTATAATTGTTTCTGGAAAAGCAACTTCATATCAATGTTTATTCATAGGGTAACAAAGCACATCACTGTTAAATTATCAACATTTTATATAAATATTTATATTTTTCAACTACTCCAACTACTCCAATTACTCCACAGAGAATCAAACGAATTGTTATTTAAACTATACTCTGTGGATGACTTGATAAAATCATGATGAAATTAAAGTCCCTAGATGAATATCTAGGGACTTTAGATGAAATTTCTACGCAGCGCCATCTATCCCTCTACTGGCAGAAACTCCGCCGTGTTTCCAAAATTCAAATGGCAGTTTCATCCGCCTGGATTAAGCAATTCCTATAAAATTCTTAAAATCGACATTTACTGAGATTCGACAGTAGGGCTCGAACTCTCTGACGACCAGATCGCAACGACCTGGCCGTCGGCTGGCCGGATGTATTGCGTTTTTAGCTGCGGCCAGATGAACGACCAGTTTCAACAGAGTTGTCAAATCTAACGATTTTTTACGTTTTACCAATTAGAAAATTTTGTTTCAGAAATGTTAAAATATCCGAGTTAACTAAAAAGCGAAGTTGCTATTCACAACAAACAAAAAGCATTGTGTACGCGCGACCGACAAAAAGGGAGATATTCTGTTTCTTATTTCTACTGATATGGCGCTCTTATCGACTTTAGAAGTAAACATATTAGGGCCATCGTAAAAAAAGATCGTCAGACACTGACTCTAAATATAAGCAGGTAGAAAGTTTAGCTTCCAGTTATTTCAATGTTTACAATATAACGAAGAATCTACAACAGTAATTACTTCTATTTTTATGAATGTTTAAGTTACTTTCTTAATTTTTTTTTTCAAAATAATGTACCTAGTAGAAAAATAGTTTAATGAACCCTGTTTGAAAAACGTTGAATTAAATATCATATTTAAAATACAGTTGTCCTCCTTGTACATGACTACAATACAACTAAAAAACTAATTTAATAAAAAAAACAAGTGGTTGTAGAAAAACCTTAAATATTACTATTTTTATTTTTTAAACATCGAAACTCAAAGGTATAATAACAGGTATCATACCAACCATAAATAGAGTAGGTATGTCATATAAAAATGTTTTGAGTTTTTACTAGAATCGACCCTTGATAAAAAAAGGGATTAGATTTAAGTTTACCTTTGATCCAGTCTGTATACTATTTCTTTTGGATTTTCTGCACGTGTGCAAAAACTACACTAAAACACTATATCTTATAATAGAAAATAAAATATTGTGCCTTGAATTTGAGGGATTTCATCTGAAAAATTATTAATTTGGAAGAAAACCGGCAACAAGCGGCAGAAAATTATAATATTTCCGTGCAGTCTTCTGGTCGCCACGACCAACGGACGGCCAGGACGTTTGTGTGCGCTATTTCATTTGATTTAATGGTTTTAGAGGTAGGTGCGGCCTGGCCGGTGCGACCTGGTCGTCAGTGTGTTTGAGCCCTTATCTATTGAAATTATATATTTGTGTTTTAACTGTGTTCTAGTTGCCAGATTTAAGCGATAGCATCACCAGCATTGAAGGATTAGGGATCGAGGATATTCAAACAGCTGCTGAAAATGGAAACGAAAATTTGAACAATGTTAAGAAGCAAATCGCTGATAGTCTAAAGACTGGCATTGGCAGCGCCAAAAGTCAAATCACAAAATCAGGTAAATTACTTGTCTCTCTCTCTCTCTCTCTTTTCTTGTAACGTACATATTATGTAAGACAACGTTAAATTTTTCTTGTATTTTAAAGTTCAATAATTTTTTTTCTTGTGGGCCAATTTTGATAATTTTATTGTGCAATTTGTAGCTCAATTATTTGACTTTTTAGTTCTCTTTATAATAAATATTAAATTTTCTATTTGTCTGGTATAGGAAGGAAAGAAAACACCACAAAAGTTTGAAACGCCCTGTAAAAATTAATTTTTAATTTAAAAAAGCTAATAAGTCAAATAAATTAACTAAAATATTCTTAAGACAAGAAGAACGGCATAGTTTTTAAGGTTAAGTTCTTAGGGTTAATGTTAAGGGTAGGTTTAGGACGAATCGTTTTCTTTTTTTTTGACAAAAAATCGGAAAATTTCAAGAAAAATGTTAAATTTCTTGCGTAAAATTTTAAATCATATTGTACAAAATTATTTTCGCAATCAAATCCAGGTCAGGATATCAAGACCAAGATGAACGACGTGACCGACATGATCAACGAGTTCCAAACTAGTCTCACCAGCACCACCAAAGAGCCCCTCGAAAAAGCCAACGATTATATCGCCAAATACGGCATGTACAGGTACTACGCGGGCTTGACCGTTGCTTGCGTGTTGCTCTTGGTGACCGTGTGCATTGCCCTCGGTCTGATCTGCGGGATCTGTGGTAAGAGACCCGATGGTTTCTCGGATAACTGTTGCAACAAAGGTGCCGGCAGCCAGTTCTTGATTTGGTAAGTCCTTTTATTTAACACTAGCTGGCCAGGCTAACATTTTTTACATCCTGGGGCCCAACGTGGGGCCACTAGATGTAACACTACTCTTTAATAGGGTTGAAGGGGTTCGTTCAAGTCTTAAAGAACAACAGCTTCGAAAAACTTTATAGATATTCTGAAATAAAAATAATATTTTAGAAAGTGTTTTTTTACATCCTGGCGCCCAACGTGGGACACCTAGATGAAACAACTCTTTAAATGGGTTGAAGGGATTTGCTCAAGTTTTAAAGAACAACCGATTCGAAAAACTCTTTGTTTATAGATGTTCTAAAATATATAGTAATCTTCTAAAGATATTTTTAAATCTTGGCGCCCAACGTGGGTCGTCTCAATGTAACAAATCTTTTTAAAACGGTTGAAGGGGTTTTCTCAAGTCTTAAAGAATAACGGCTTCGAAAAACTCTTTATTTATAGATATTCTTAAACCAATAATATTCCTTTAAAGAGTTTTTTACATTTTGGCGCCCAACGTGGGGTGCCTGGATTTAACAACTCTTTAAAAGAGTTGAAGGGGTTTCCTCAAGTCTTTGAGAACAACATATTTGAAAAACTCTTTGTTTATAGTTATTCTAAAATAAACAATAATGTTTTAAAGAGTTTTATGACATTCTGGCGCCCAACGTGTGGTACATTTCTAATTAATTCTAAAATTAAATAAATAAATAATAAATAACGCTTTATTGTGCAAAAAGCCAAAATATGTAGCTTCATCGACAAAGCATTTACAAAACAAACAAAAGCACAAAAATATAAAAATAATAAAAAATATACCATACAAATTATACAATTCAAATAAAAAATAAGTCATTAAAATTACAAATAGAACATATGTACATGGACAATTGCAGAACACAAAAAAAGTTATTAATATATTTTTTTTGTTAAGAGTTTTTTTTTAAATTCTGGCGCCCAACGTGAGGCACCTTTCTAATTACTTCTAAAATTATTAGTTTATATTTTATTGCTACAGGATAAAATTGTTCTAGAACATTATAAATGGCTACTTCTACTGTTACATTTCTAAACCTAATTTATATAAAAATTAATTTTCTCTATAATTTTTTTTTCGCGAATTTTTTGATTTTTGTTTATTATTTCCATTGGGTTTATCATTTTTTTTTCTATTTTAGCGCCGTCGTAATAATGTTTATATTCGGATTCGTCATATCTGTCATGACTTTAGTCAGCGTCGTGGTAGGCATCGTGTCGGACAAGGCCGTTTGTTCCACCTTTAAAAATCCATCCGGTTCCAACATCATGCAGGTGCTGGACGATTTGGTCGAGTTTGACAGTTTCAAAGTCAGTTTCAGCAGCATGCTGAAGAACTGTCATAGTAACCAAAGCGTCTACACCACGTTCAACCTGAAGGATAAGTTCAACATTGCTGAAGTCAGGAGCCAGTTCAACATCAGCGAGCAGTTGAGCGAATTCAATTTGAACAAGTCCATGTTCGATAATTTTAAAATTTTGGACGAGGGTAACATGCGAATAATGGACAATTTGAAAAATTTTCAGACTCCAAACTTAGATAAATTTACGGATGAGGTAAGAGCCCTAGATGAGGAATTTTTGCGATTATAAAATTTAAACAAATAAGAAAAATCTGATGTGAAAGGTTGTCAGTAACTGTGTATTTTTTTCGATTTAGCTTAGCGCAAAATTCACCAACTACAACTTGAATCAACTCTCCGACAAAATCCAAGAAGTTATCGATACCATGAAAAAAACACAGGATCCCGGTTACGAAGACACGATAAGAAATCTGCAACTCAGCCAATTACACCTGAGCACGTACAACGAGAAAATTCTGGATCCGATGAGAAACCTGGCCACTCAAGTCATGGTACGTATCGTCGGTATCGTTTTGACGTTTGATTTGACACATTCTTGGCTTAGACTTTTTAAACTTCGCGGATAAGTAAATTCGCTTCATTTTTGTTGAAGACACATCAGCGACATTCGACTATCCGATTATCTTTGTCTTTGACACTGACTGACCAATCTATCTGTTTTTCTTTTATGTATATGTCGTTTTAATGTTTAAAGTGATATAAATATGTATATATTTCGCTGAATAAAAGTCGGTTTAAAAAACGATTTTAAATAACATATATCTTATTTTTTGAAAATATGGGACATACTTCAGAGGTTTTCATACTTCTAAGTGTCTTTTATTTCAGTTGTATGGTAGTATTAGACATTTCTTCAGTCTTTTTGTTTGAATATTTTTTAGATAATACTTAGAAGAACAGTTTCTCCTATTACATTGTTCTTGATTTTATATTCTATTTTAATTTTTTTTAGACTAACGCTACTGAACTGGACAGTATGCTAAAAATGGGATCTGACAGTTTCAACGATGCCGTAAATGACTTGTTGGACAAGATCGTAAAGGCACAGGACTATCTACTTAACCATGGTGCAGATTCATTAATTAATGTAAGTAGAGTTTTGTATTCTTGTTGGATTTATACTGCGCGGTCTGGATTTTAACGTGTAAGACAGCGATGTCGACAGCTTAATGGAAAATCAAATATATTAAAAAGAGATAAAAATTGGGTCGATACGTTTCTTCTATACGGTATTTTCGTATTTTGCATTAAAATTTCAAACCGCACAAGTGCAACAGAGACGGATAAAGTGTCTTTTTCCTACCATCGTATAGGGGAAGTGATCATAGAAGTGATACGACGAGAGAGCCTCTGCGAGAGGGGGTGCCGGGCGGGTCTTTAAGACGCTTGTGTGGTGGCTACCGTCTACTAATAGAATAAAATCGAAAAAATAGAAACAGGACGGACAGTGTTGCCATTATATTAAATCGAAATTATGTTGGCTTATCCCAAATCCCAAATCTCCTAATCCCATTATCTTGCATGCTTAATGAAATATTAAATAAAGTTCGAAACAATTTTAAGAATGTTTTCTCTAGGCACATAACTTCTTTCTAAAACGAAAAGTAACATGCAAAACTTTGAAATCATTTCTAATATAGCAAGGGCATTTCTATGAAATGGCAATACTGTACGATCTTCCTAGCAGTCGCCCCGACACCGTCGCATCGGTCGGCAGCGGCGGTGACAAAGCAATTTAGGCCGAAAAAAATTTATAAGGAGTAGCCCAACAGGGTTGCCGGGTTTGTTACATTATAATTCCATACGAGAACAAAATCATCGGTAGAGAAAAAAATCAAAAGTACAGAAACAAAATAAAATATAATATTTACGTCCAAAATTAGCATTCCTATGTGTCGTAATAATAGATCACTCAAATAAAATACAAATATAATAAATATAACAAGAATTAGAAATAGCTAGGTACCTATATTATTTGATATTAAAAAAATATTGAATTAAATAATATTAATATATTAATAAAAATATATAAATCTATAACAAGTAGGGATAGCAGTTACAAATTAGTGTAGCAGTCACTTTATCTTTGTACAAATTTTGATCAGTGATATCTAAAATTAATTTCATTTCAATGGGAAAGCTGTAGCAACTCTCAACTCTTTTTTCATATTAATATATTTTTTTGACAGGAAAATCGCTAAAATATTTGTCCGAATTTAGGTTGTTTCTTAACTTAAATTTTGTTTCTCTTGATTACATTTTTTTGGGGAAAATATGGGTTCAACTTTAGTAAATGAATGAAACAAAATCTTTTCAAAAGATATCAACTTCTTCGGGCATGTCGCCAATACCGCGCCTAATAAGGATTTTTAGGAATATCTCTGTAACTCTGCAAGTAGACAGAACGATGACCTGTATGTGTGCTATTACTAAATAAAATTTAATGAAACAATAATAAAGTTAGATTATAGAGATTCCAACGCGGCAGTCGCTTAATTTTTAGTCAAATAAGTCAGCTTTTTAAAAGTGCTTCTATTGTAAAAACTAAAGACGCAGTTGAACATATCGTTAGATTTTTCTTTAAATCGGTAGATCGGTAGCTTACAGACGAAACCGGTAGACCTGGCGACTTTGTGATGAACTGACGGGAGACGGGATAGATAGTTGCGGAGGCGAAGGGAAATAAAATAATGGCGATAAATAAAGGGCAGGGGGATGGGTATCGTGAGTGGATGGGCGGTGGCGGAATTTCCAAAATTTGTTATCGTATTGGAGTTTGTCTAAGTAGACAGTCGTAGTGGAAGTGGAAACGGGGAAGTTGTTGTCCATCTCTGTTTAAGCATAGACTTTTTATAGGCGTTTCATTCCAATGCATGTAATTCCTATGCCTAGAGATCAATTGCCGGGCCTGTATAAGTTAAATTATTAAAAAAAATGTGTTTTTTTTAAATTTATTTTTAAATTATAGATTTTTTTGTCTCTTTAGATTACGGACAATTTCAAAGGTACTATCATTACACTAGTGGACGGGTACATGGATAGGGTCGAATACCAAATAACTAACGAAGTTGGTACTTGTGGTCCATTAAGCGCTGTGATCAATTCAACTCTAACATCGACTTGCGACAAAATCCTGCTACCATGGGTAAGTATTAGTTTTTTGAATATACATATTGTTTCCGTATAAGTGTCCGATATTTTATAGGGCGGTTTTTGAAGTATTTTTAAGAAAAATACTTGAAAAATCGCCCACAAAAATACCTTAATGTCATATACTATACCGAGTGGCTTTTGAAATATATCCGCTTTTAAACTAAATTTAAAAAATTTTACTTTCCTAACACTTTTAAAATAAGTGCAAATATTTTCAGGGCTTGTAGATCTCGATAAAAGAAACATATTTTCTCTTTACCGTTTTTCATAAAAGTCTAAAATAACCTTTGAATAAGAAGACTAAGGAAGGAGCATAATGCTATCCATGTATTCATGCATGGTGGGCGGAAAAAGCACTCTAGGGTGGGGATCCTTGACAGTTCTGTTTGACGATTCATTTGACACATTTGAATTTGATTTGAAATTTTGTGAATGTGTCAGTCTTTGCGGAGCTTATTTTATGTTATTTATTATTTATTCTACAACGGATAGTTGTATAAAGGTAGTAAATCTAGATGGAAATTGTGGCAGAACTTAAATTAACAATGACACTATCGCGATTTATCGAAAAAGACTCTAAAATAGTTGGTTGCCTAGCGTGCGGTAGATCTCGGCAAAAATTGAGTGAAATAATGGAACAACTTTTCGCTAGTAAGTGACTATATAATATACATACGTGTAGTAAACCGATCATTTATGAAATTCACTTAAATTAACTAAATTATATATTTTTCTTGCATTTTAGCTTTTATTTATTACTTGTCAAAGATTAGATGTCAAAGAATTTAGATACGTTAATTTGACTTACCTGCTTCAGTAGCGTATCGGATGTTTGTGTTAATAAATACTTATTATAACTTATCTATTTTTATTAGAATTATATATTTTTATAACACTTTTAATAACTACCAACATTTATTCACAACGTAAAATAAAACAACAAATTATTGAGTCTACCCCACGTCTACCCTACATCATAGGTTTATATTTTTTAAATAAAATTAGAACGACACTGATAAACCGGAATTTACGTCGGCCATATTTGAGGCCCATCGCGGTGTACCTAAAATTTTTGATATGCTCCTTCCTTAGTCTTCTTATTCAAAGAAAATAACCGACTTATTTAAGTTTGCAAATTTAAAATTGATTTTTTTTGAAAAAATTTTGAGAGCCTCCGGATTTTTTCTGTATTTGCATCCCTTTTAGTGCCGTAACCATAGAGTTAAACCGTAACTATAACTATGGTAATCTCAGAGATTAAGAAATTATACCGTGGAAAAATTTGCGGTGAACAAGCAGTTCTAAAAAGTTTTCGAAAAATATACAGGGAAATTTAAAAGAAAATGCACGTGTTCCTGGGATCGAAATATACCGCCCCTGAAAATATTTGCACTTATTTAAGACTCACCCTGTATAATAATTTTTTCGTATACTCGCTATTTAAACCCGTGTATTTGTATACAAGGTGATGTTCTCTATGGACATCTCGGAAAGTGCTGGAGATAGAGAGTCGGTTAAATGGGGAAAGAATTGCAGTTTTGCGAGGTCATAAATATGCGCCTTTCAGATTTTTGAAAAAGTTCATGGCTTACTAGATATTTCGAAAAAAACAAATTTTGGCTATTTTAAAAATTGTCCCTAACTCCATTATAATCTATTTTAGACAAAAAGTGTTCAGATAAAAGTTGTAGATAATCACATTCCTAATGAGATTGTGTTCTCCGATTTTTTCTAAAGCCTGTCATTTTTGACATATGACACAAACATATGTTTTTTTTAAATGGAAACCATAGTTGGCCATGAATGACTTCATAAAAAGCGCCATTTTTTAAGCTTTTCAGCGATATAAGCTATAATATGTTTCTTTTACAAAATTACTGAGTTATAGCCAATTCTTATCTTTCTTGACTAATTTCACTTAGTTAGTCATGGAAACAAGTTGAATCATCGTTGCTCTCAGAAATGTGAAATTGTCACATCCAATCTTTGTAAATTAAAATAAACAAAAATTGTAAATAATTTTTTTTAAATGAAGAAAAGCGTGTAGGATTATTTGTTCAACTTTTCTTGACCATACAAGATACGTTGACCAGTGATAGTTACTTACGTTTTTTAGAGAACGGTTTCCAATGGTATTCTAATTTTGTTATGATTTATAACTTATAAAAAGACAAAATATTTTATTAAACGGCTCTTTACAATTTACATTACACAAACTAAAAGTTAAAAAAATTATCAATACATACATGGGCGCCGGACAGGGGGGGCAAGAGGGGGCGTTTGCCCCCCCCCCCTGGATCACTGAAACAATAAAAATAAAAGCTATCTTCTTACATCCATCTGTAAAAAAATAATCATTATTATGAAATTGTTAGGTGTTATCTATAAAATAATAAAAAATGTGGTTATTATTGGGAAAACTGGAAATCGTCCGATTTTCACCAAAATTGGTATACGCACTATTTTGAGGTCGTAGATTACGAATCTACTTTTTTCTTGGCGGTCTCTTACCGTTTTTCAGAAAAACGGAAAATTATTTCAACATTGAATTTTTCTTTATTTCGGCCCTATAAAGTAATAATTTCACTATATTTTCATTATATTATAGTTTATCTAAAAGCCACACTTGATTGGGGATAGAAAAGTGTCCAACATTTTACTGAAAAACACTTTTCTTAACAAAATAGCAAAGAAAATTGAGACCAGATGGAAGTTTGACATTTGATATATCCTTCTTTCTCTCTCCTATGTAATAAGAGAGACAAATATATTCTAGACCTAATCTAGAAATTTGAAAATTTACAACGTTGCCATATCTTCTATTTTTTCGGGTGATTAGGGATTTTAAATAAATTACCTATTATGAGATCGACAATAATTAAATATACACCTATATCCACAAAATTACGCGGAAGGGTTTTGATTGCGTTGGTTTTAACTTCTTTGTGGAGGGGGTTAATCTTTTTTTAGTTAATCTAATAATATAACAACAAAAGATTAACACCCACTGCATGGAAGTTGTAACCAATGCAATCAAAACTCTTTCGTGCAACTTCGTGGCTATAAATAGTCAGATCTCGTTGGTAAAATAGCAGTTATGGGAAGGTGCCGTTCTTCTGGCGACCGCCTTTCGTAATTCCAGAATGAGTGAAAAAAACACGCTAAATTTAGGTTTAGCATTGGCAAAGTTGCTTTAAATGCCAGAAACACATAAGCTTACTTCGGGTTTCTCTTATTACCGATTCTGAACCGTCCTAGAACTGTGATGCGTATGCGCAGAAGGAAATATGAAGACATTATTTCATTTATGCATGCGCTGCAGAGTTCTTGAACGGTTCAGAATCGGTAATAACAAGAACCCGAACAAAGCTATAACCTAACATTTTCAGATTGTTTACTAATTTATTTTAGCAAATTTTCCTCTATTATGCATAGAATTGGTTATAGTTATTAACGTAATAAGGCCGATAAACAACAAATAACGGCCGGGCTGAAGTTTGTGATCCGAGGCGATAGCCGAGGATCATAAGCAGCCAAGGCCGTTATTTGTTATCGGCCGTGTTGCGTTCTAGATTTTTCGTCATACTGCAGATTTTTTAGAGCAATAAACACTACTATTTAATAACAAATTTTATTGAACAATAACACAAGTAAGGATAAAAAAATACATAATGTCTTATACTAAAATTCATTTTTCATGATAATGAACATGGAAATTAAAAAGGCACTTGTTGTTCTTAGAAATCTGTAATCCTTCCCAGGGATTTACAGATTTTATAGAAGAAGATGATGCTACTGAAGAATGGCAAATATTTGTATCCACTAAAGACACATTATTTTTGGAGCTATCATGAAAAAGTTGATTTGTTATTTTCATTCTTTTGGAAACTGATTTTTCTATGTAAGTTGCTGCCACTGTTGAAGACTCCCATCCTCCTAGCTCCTTTAGCGATAGTAAATCACCACCATTTTCGGCGAGCATGTTTGCTGATGATCTACGAAATGAATGCCCTGTATAACGTTCTGGATTCTCCAAGTTCAAAAATTTTGCAATTTTCTGCGGTACGCTCCCGATGGTATGTATACCGACGATTTGCTTAACACACTTGCCTTTCTTGTAACCAATGAAAAATTTTGGATTGTCAAAGTTACGAGGACGCAGGTTGATGTATTTTTTGTATAAACCATAGGCATCAAACGGAAGGCCCGTTTTTGGAATAAGAAATTTCCTATCTTTCTTATTTTTAGTATTTCTTAATGAGACAAGAATATTTTTCTCCGGAATCTTCGAAATCATCAACTGTGAGTGACCAAAGCTCGCTGCGCCTACAAGCTCCAAGAATACCAAGCACCAATACAATTTTTCGAGTAACCAGGTGTAATCATCGGCATCCAGTAGAAAATTATTTATGTCATTCCTCCGACAGAACTTTGGCTTTTTTGGTGAATAACCTTCGTTTTTGCGCCTCAGAAACATGAACAGTTTACCAAATCTATGAACAAATATAATTTAGATGAGTATGATTAAATATCGAAGAATATAATGGCTTTTTACCTTGATATGTCGATGTTTTCATATACTCTCAACGCAAGCTTCAGCATGGATATCTTGTCCACAGTGATGTAGGAGAATACATTTCAGACATTCTTTTAGCATAAGCCAGCAATACCGCTTCATTTACGCTGTTTATACTTCTATCCTGCCGCCACTTCAAAAAATTGTCATATTCCTGCTGATATCTCTCTCTGGTTATAGTCGGAAGTATAATTTTGAGTAGCCGCAGCCGCTTCCTCCTGTATTTCCAACGGAATTTCTCGCGACATCTCGCTATGGTCTATTTTCCCAATTTTTGAAAAGTCCAACTGACAATAAATAGTCATTGTTGCAGGTGACAGACGTTACGATTACCTTAGAAACTTAACGGCCGCCGGCCGTTATGATAACGTCCGGCGGACGTTATATGCATCTTTTCCATTCTGATTTTGCTTATGTTATAATAATATAACAATATAGTATGACGAAAAAAAAGTAACAGAAAATAGCAAAAACATTATTGATTATTGAATACCTAACAAAATATGTGCTAGAAAACCTTAAAAATATGAGAAATTAAGAAAAATTCGATATCGAAATTATTTTCCGTTTTTCTGAAAAACGGTAAGAGACCGCCAAGAAAAAAGTTCAGATTCGTAATCTACGACTTCAAAATAGGGTGTATACCAATTTTGGTGAAAATCGGACGATTTCCAGTTTTCCCAACAATTACCAAAAATGTCAATTTTTTATTCATTCTTACCTTGCCCTCCCCTAAATTTTATTCTTCCGGCGCCCATGAATACATACACTTTAAGTTAATTTAGGAAATGTTCAAAATATCCGCAATTATTTTGAGTACATAAATGCATCTTTTTAAAACTGAATTTCTAGCTATTGTCACAGAACGACCGGTCGACTTAATTAAACTTCTCCTGTTTCGCCTCTTCGAGTGCCTCTCATAAGTTCATAAGTCCTTTAGTAAACCTTGTTGTTAACCATACCGTATAAAAAAATCTAAAATGGATAGGTCAGGTGACCGAGGACGCCGAGGAGACCCATGCAATTGGTCCACCTCTTTCTATCCCTGAGTCTACATAATTATTATGATAATGAAATAATTTTTAACATTTCTTACAATGTGGGAGAGGGGTTTGGTGTGTCATAATGAGAGTCATGTTGGAACCACTCTATTAATGCGCGAGTATCTAAATTTAATAATTAATGTCTTGAAAACCGTTCTCTAAAAAACGTAAGTAACGTTCACCGGTCAACGTATCCTTGAAACTGTATAGCCAAGAAAAGTTGAACCAATATTCCTACACGCTTTTATTCATTTGAAAAACTCGTATTTAGAATTTTTGTTTATTTTAATTTACAAAGATTGGATGTGACAATTTTACATTTGTGAGAGCAACGACGATTGAACTTGTTTCCATGGCTAACTAAGTGAAATTAGTCAAGAAAGATAAAAATTGGCTATAACTCAGTAATTTTGTGAAAGAAACATATTATAGCTGAAAAGCTTTAAAAAATTACGCTATCTCCAGTAGTTTCCGAGATACCCATAGAGAACATTCTAGGAAACTCACCCTGTATCATAGACTTAAAATAAAATATAGACTACACTATTTACATCTCAACGCGGACAAACAACCTTTTTTGTACACATGTTTACTTCTGGGTACAGTCGACCGAGCCTTCCTCATCCAGCCTATGTTGTCACGTCTTTAATATTATCAATATTTTTTTTTCTTGTTATACACATATATTGAGATATTAATACTACAGTTTAATAAAGTAGGTTTTAATATTCCAGAGATGTATTAAATAGTCCTTATACTACTAAATTATAAGTCGGATACTGTTTAAAAAGGATAAGTTCTTTACAATATGACAACACCGATTAGAGGCGAGGGAGCCTATTCATTCATTTATTACCTTGTAGTACGTGTCGCACGTGTGCGGTAAAGCTTTGTTGCCGCTATCTCCCCGGCTGTATTAACGCATTTTCTTAGCTTGTAGTGCTTAAGTGTTTATTTTATTGACTTTTTCTGTTCAAGAACTATAAAATATGGTTCGCCAGTGCCAAATTTGCAAGAAATTTGACTTAAATAATCCATTTAAGTCTTGAAACGACTTTTGACCGGTAGGCAACTCTCAATTTACCCATTGGGAGTCAGTGGCGTTGTTGTAGAAAGGCGCTTATTTAGATAATATTTTAGTAAAATGTAAAATCTGAATTTTTTCTCTTACATTACATTATTTACTTACTTACATTGTAACAAAATCATAATTATAACCCTGTTAATAATTAATAATGTTTTTATTAAAAATATATTCCGGTTTATTCTAAAATTATCTTCAGAATCTAAAATAACATACAAGAATTTTAAAATGATATTACATTATGAAACAATATTTTTTAATATACCGGGTCGTCTCAAAAGTGGCTCACCCTTTAACTTTTTTTATTTTTCAGATAAAAAACAGATTTGTATGTTAGTAGGTATATGACATAAATTAGGATTTATTGACGTATTCAATTGTTTTTGGTCTCTTCCTGTTTCACCGAAATGATTACATCTTTTGATTTTAAAGGCACCCTCGGTATATTGCTACTTTATTCGATAAAAATGACACTCTGAATAGAATGACATATCATATGTCAACTTTTGACATTGTCGCTTAAAACATATCCTATTTTAAATTTCAATCCAGTTTTTTCTCAATCCACTAAGTTTTAATCAAGGAGCCTTGGAAAAATAGTTTTGATCGTCTAATAGGTTTCGTGTCTTGTCTAGGCCGGTTAAAAGATGTACAAATCGTATTTTTAATCATACATATGTCAATTTTTCAAATGGAACAAGGGTGACTCATTAGCATATTTGGAAAAAGCATTTTTTTATGAATATATTGATACCACACACTTGGTATTTCGAGTCAAATTGTCGTTATGAACCGCGTGTTACAATTACAATTAAACCATATGCGAAAATGTCAAAAGTTGACATATGATATTTCATTCTATTCAGAGTGTCATTTTCTATCGAATAAAGTAGAAATATACCGAGGGTGCCGTTTAAAAATTAAAAGTTATAGTCATTTCCGGTGACACAGGAAGTGACCAAAAACAATTGAATGCGTCAATCAATCCTAATTTATTTCATATACTAACATACTAAATCTTGTTTTTTTATTTGAAAATATAAAAAAATTATGGGGATGAGCCACTTTTGAGCCGCACCCGGTATAATAAAGACAGTACCGAGTTAAATAAATGTAGTTTTTATTTTATCCACTTCCTATCACCTTCCTTGCTTTAATGGAACAGATTTATGTTTTCTCTAATTTACATAATAAGACATCACTTAACTAGAAAAAAAATTACAACAATCATTTTTTTTTCTCTCCCTGTCGCCGATTCTATTATATCTGTGGAATAGATCCGGTTTTGATTAATATTAGGGGTTGTAAATGTTTGACTAAAATTAATAATTTATTATTAATTTCAAAAATTACGTAATTTCGATTATAAAATTTCTTCTATAACGTGTATTTTATTATGTTTATCCTTTTCGGACTCTAAGACGTTTTTTCTAAACTTTTATGTAAAAAACCTGTCCTAAATCTTAATAAAATATAAAAACGTTTAAATACGATATATTTTTAATTTACTTATAGCTTCATTAAAATAAAAAAATTACCCGGCTATGATACGGAGAGTTCAGGTGTACTTGAGAAACGAAAGACAGTGTTGTGTTTCTCGGCAGAGTCGTCAGGGAACGACCGTTACGACAGAGACAACCTATCTATCGCTCGTGTCGCACTCGTTATAACCTAAAACAATAACACAACAATAACAAGACAGTGTCTGCCCGCATGTTCCAGCTATTTATGAATGAGATGCTCAGTCTATATTTTATTTTAAGTCTATGCCCTGTATAGTAGTTGTTTTCTCCGATGGTGGCAGCACTGGCGGAGAATGCACCAAGGCCATATAGATGTAGATAGAATACTACAGTATGTCCTTTCTTATTTTTTTAGAATGGATTTTGGTTCAGCATGTTCTGGTCGATCCTACTGTACATCGTCACTATCGTAGTGGCTATCAAATTGGCCACCCTGTATCAGAAATACAAACCGTACGGCCACGGCTATGTCGAGACGTAAGTATCAATTTTTTTATTTCCAGTTATTAATTGCCTATAAAATTATATGTAATTTTTTTTTAAACCTATATAGGTACCCGAAATTATATTTGTCTATATTTTGAAAAATAAAATACACAATGCTTTTTTTCGTAGTTATGTTAGTAAATAAGTGTTTGTTTTCTTCTTTTTTGTATTGTTTTTTTTACAGTGAATATTTGTATGACGCGTACGCTGATAGTATTCCTTTGAACAGGTGAGTAGTTGTGCATGCGTTTTTCTTGACAATTTTTTTTATTAAATCGACGTACCATACGATCGAGAAAAAAAACGGCGTCGGAGTGGGCTTGGAAATACGGGAATGGCATTTCGAAGCCTACTTGACGCCGTTTTTTTTTCTCGATCACGCGGTGTTGATTTTGTATTATTTTTATATGATATATTGCTTAATAGAACAGTAAGATATATTTCTTTTTGTAGTTTGTAATTTGATGAATCATTAACAATTGCATGCATGCCTATTTTATTACGATTAGTTATTATTTTGTTTAATGATCTTATATTTTTGGTTATTATTGTTTTTGCATTAAAAACATCATTCACACCTAATCATGTGACTAAGGAAGGAGTACTATAGTCTGTCCAACGACAAAATCCTTGACAGTGATAGATGTGTCTGTCATTTTAATTTCAAAGTAGTTTATTTTATTTTACAAAGAAATAAGTTGGTACAACTGGAACGCATAGTAGGAAATTAACATACTTAAAGTTTGACTGATAAGTGATTACTTCAAAATATTGTGAAAAAAACTGTATAAAACTGAAAAAATGTAATCGAGTTATTTTATTTAAAAAAAAACGGTGTGTTAATACAAAACAAACAAGGACAAAACACCACATACCAAAAAAATATAAAAATAACTATTTCTTACTTTCAAGCTTCAAGAAACTTCCCGCATTTATTATTACTTTTATCAATATAACTTATGCACAAATACAAATTTGTAATATTCCACAAGAATAAATAAAACAACATAAATAAAACAAACTATTTTATTAATAATAACATTTACCAAATTTTATACCTTAAAGGTTGATTAATTAACTTTAATCTTATTTTTTTTAAACCAGTACCTTTTGACATTATTTTTCTGCAGTACTAAAATCCATTATTTACTTACCGTGTGATGTCGATATTTTACAACTACTCCAGTAGTATGTTTAGTACGATCCTTGTAGCATATACGAGATGTGCTTATCTACGACGAGATGGTATACAAATTTATTGAGTCTACAGATAATTTTCCCTCGATTTTTCCTCCACTTGACTTCCAAAGACACAAAACACACGTAATAACACGAAAATGCACCATCCTCCAAAACGCAGATATTTGACATAAGTTGACACAAAATTATAACCTATAATTTTGCAAGACTTTGACAAGTCTCAAAAATCTAAAGGCGAGTTCATACGCATCGGCGTCCGTTTGTCGTTCATCGTTCTGTCAAATCAATAAAACTGAAATATGATCTGTCATTTTTGAAATAAACCAATAAAACTGGTTAAAAACAACAAGAGACGACACGTGACGTATTTTTATTTAAACCCATTCATAGTTAACCTAAAAAATATTAGAACTTTTTTTTTTAGTAAAATAAATAGATTGGTATGGGACGTCATCTGCTGTTCTTCTGTCATCATCTGTCGAAATCTTACATGAGAAAAAAATACAGAGTATACTCATAAGGCTGACTTGAATGCCGGTTTATCTGTGGCTTTCTATTTTTTTTTAAACGTGTTAAAATATAAAGTAGGGTAGGCTCAATAATTTGGTGGTTTTGGTTTATGTTGTTAATAAATATTTTTTGTTATTAAAATATATGTTAAATAATAATAGATAAATTATAATAACAGATACGCTACTGAAACACGTCAAGTCAAATTGACGTGTTCTAATTATTTTTGACAAGTAGTAAATAAAAGCGGAAATAAAAGAAAAATATAAAATTAGTTAATTTAAGTGAATTTTGTAATTAATTGGTTTGCAAGTGAATATAGTAAACGCCACGAAATGTTTGGGAGTGATTCAGCGGTCGCTATCATGTGAACTAATCTGTTCAAGGTCACATAAAACTTAATTCCAGTGCCGTGTTGTTTCAAGTCATATAATAATCAATGTATAATCTGTTGTAATTTGTTGTTTTAACTGTCAAAGTCTTGTCAAAACATATATTTGGTTATAAATATAAAATGGAATGCTCCATTGGTCGCATTGCAAGCACACCAATGGACTGACGCACAAAAACGAATCAATCAAAGAAACGCGATTATAGTATCGTCTTTGTCAATCACGCAAACATTTTAAAATAAGTAGGAGGAGCGCAGGCAGATACTTAGACCGGGCCTTTAAAAACCTACGTCTGCGGTAAAAATTTACGTTTTAATGTAAAAATGATTGCGCGCATGTCGATTCTAACTTCATCAAGCGATGAATCACTCCCAAACATTCGTGGCGTTTATATTAGTTCCATTATTTCTCTCGATTTTTCTAACTATTTTATAGTCATTTTTCAGTAATTTGTAATAACGTCACTGTTAATTTAAGTTCTGACACAATATCGTTCCAGATTTACTACCTTTGAACAAAGCTAATTATTGAATGAATAATAAATAACATAAAATAAGCTCAGTAGACATGACAAATCCACAAAATTTTAAGTCAGTTTCAAATGTCCCAGTTGAAACATCAAACAGAACTGTCAAAAATAGGGATTTATGATGCCAATTTTGTCTGGCATGCGTGAATATATTATGTATAGCATTATACTCCTTCCTTAATCTTTTTATTCAAAGAGTGAAACGTCAAATAAAATTGACAAAAGAACGTATTTTCATGACATTTCTTCTGTCTCTAATTTTGGAATATAAAAGGTTATTTTTTTAGTTCTTCTTTAGTCTCTTTTTTTTCGATGGTTTCAGTGTTTATTCTATGGTTAGGAAGAATTATAGCTTCATTCAGAACCTCGCAATTAGTGGTTTCAATTAGCGTAGAATTTTGTTCCCTTAATTTCAATGTAAGCATTCAGAACGTCAAAATTAGTGGTAGATATTTTCAATTGGTAGAAAAAGTTATGAAACTTTTAACTTTCCCACTAATTATACTTCTTAAAATTTGCGAGAAATGTCATTTTTGCCTTTGATTATCTTCCGTCAATAGAAATTGTGGTTAGAAATCAAAAGTTGATTGTTTTATAAGCTAAATATTAGGCTTTGTCTATGGATACAACTGACTAACCCAAGTTGTTGCTAGAATATTCTATTAATTTTAATTTTGTTTTTTAAACATTGTGAACGATCGTAAACTAAAAAGTATAAAGTGTAATTGAAACCACTAATTAAAACAACAAACTTTTGGTTTCTATCAAAGACCAAAATTACATTACTCGCAAATTTTAAAGTAAAATTAGAGGTAAAATTTAAGTTTTTCAACTAATTGAAAATTACTACCACTAATTCTGACGTTTTGAATGCTTAAGCTCCGCGCGCACAGAAGGGGTATCGGCGCGACCGAGCGGCGCGACCGGCACGACCGGTCGGAAAGTCGATTGTAGCCGCGCACTGGAGTCGCACGATCGGCGGTCGAGAGTACGTCACCAGCATAAATTTGAGCATAGACGAGGAGAAGTTTATTCAAATTTAGTCAAATTCATTCGGCATTTCAAAAAATTATAAAGTATTATTACTATTTATATTTTTATGCAACTTTTTATATTTTATGCTTTATGATGGAAATTAATATTATTTAGATTAGAATTTAGAATTTAGAATCAGTGGGAGGGGGGTTAATCACTTCGACCTTACAGATCCATTGTGTCCCCCTTTCTTGAATCGTAACTCATCATACAGTCCCAGGGCTTTGACAAAAGCCAGTATCTGGGACGGTTTTATAGAGGGTAGTTCTCCATCTCCAATATCAGTCGTACCAAAATTCATGGCACGAATGGTTGTCGTCTCGGCGCACTCAGTGATGAGCTGTACTGGTGTTTCACCATCTTCTCCACAGAATCTGCATTCGCCGTTTTCTTCTTAGTTTCAATCTACTGAGGTGTTCATTGAGGAGACAGTGTCCTGTTAAAACCCCGTGACAATCCGAAGATTGTTCTTACTCAGACTCCAGGAAGATCTGTGATTTTTCTTGATCATAAGCCCTCAGAAACTTCTTCGAGTGTCTTAGGACCATTGCAAGATTTCCATTCCAGGTTGCGGATGGAATCTTCCAAGTTCTTGAGTTCCGCCTTGAGTTAGTTGGTTACCACTTGGGAAAGCAGAACGGTTCTGGTCCAGTTAGTGGAGTGTTCGCTCCTTTCCTAGCTAGATTATTTGCTTTTTCATTGCCTTCTATCCCTTGGTGAGCAGGCACCCAGTGTAGGAGGACTTTGTTTTCTTTGCCTAATTTATTCAGCTTCTCTATGCATTCTTTGACCAATTTCGAATTGATTGATACTGAGTTGATCGCCTTTAACGCTGCTTGACTATCAGATAAGATGGCTATTTCTTGTTTCCGATAGTTCCTATCTAAGATAAGTTGTACGCATCTCTCGATAGCGTAGATTTCTGCCTGTAGGATACTAGGGTAAGTGCCCATTGGTTCCGGAGTAATTAGCTCTCGGCCCAAACACTCCGATCCCTGTTCCCGTATTGGTTTTGGAAGCATCAGTATACCAAGTTATGGTATGGTCTTTTAACTGCTGGGCAAGCGTTTCGCTCTTCCAATCCTTCTTATTGTTCAATACTACATTGACATGTTTGTCAAAGTTGTACGTTCTTGGCATATCGTCCACTGGGGTTGCAGGGAGTGGTATTTCCTTTTGAGGGTGTTCCAAGCCCCTGATCTGACAATTCTCCCAGTACTAATTCCGTTAGTGACCATTCTAATCATTGTCGCATTGGCATATCTACCAATGACAATGTGCAGTGGTGTTAGATCTAGAATGACCTCCATTGCTGCTGTTGGACAGGTTCTCATGGCTCCTGTGATGCAAACACATGCTAGTCTCTGGACTTTGCATAGGTTTAGCCTTGCCGTCCGTTGCTCTAGTTTTGTGTACCAGGCAACTGCTCCATAAGTAATCATGGGTCTTACTATCATGGTATACATCCAGCGCAAAATGTTAGGGGAGCAGCCCCATCTATTTCCGGCCAGTCTTCTGCATATCATGAGAGCCTTTATGGCTTTGCTGGTAGTGTTCTTAATA